TTAGTTTAATCACAACATTGTGATATTAAGATAACGTTAAAAGTATAGGAATATAATTGAGACCTCATAAAAATCAAAGGATTCTAAGAACATTTTGATTAATTTTATAATAAAAACAAATCTATTGAATTTGGAAGAGACTAGATCTTCTCTAATCATGAAAGAAGGAATCGAATCTCAAAAGAGAATTTGAAGAAACTAGATCTTCTGATCTAATCATGAAAGTTGGCAAGGGTTTGGAGTTTCTTGGTCATACCGACTTAGAAGTCTCAAGTTCGAACTTTCTGGTGAACTTAATACCAAAAATTCTTGATGTCTCCTAAATCCGTTGTCCATAGGTATATATATAAGTTTTCCAAATGAAGAAAATATTCCTTGGTATCATTTTCATGTATTGAGGAGCCATGGACCATCCAGTTGTATCCCTCTAAGGCCATTAAGAAGGAAAGTGAAACATTCTTCCCCATAGGGACTTCTCTCATAGGGCTAAGCTAACCACTATGATGATGATGAAAGTGATCTTCATCTTTGCCACTCAAATCCAGCCGTCCATTTGGTTTACTTTTTAGTTCCATCATGGACCCCTCACTTTCACTACACATTCTCATTCAATGCAAACACTTGCACTTCCCAATCCTTTTTTCCCATTTTTTCATCCCATGATTTTGTTTTTTGTTTTCATAGTATCACATATGGGGTAGAGATTCAAACTTACGATTTTTTAATCGTAGATAGATATCTTAATCCAGCTATGTTTAGGTTGGCATCCATATAACTTCGTTAAACCTTAAAAATTGTTCATTAATCGTCTTTTACCCACATGAATAACTCACATATTTTCTACTCAACAACTCTAATACAATGAATTAGTGCAATTATCCAAATAGAAATTATCAACTCCTTGTTATGTAAAAAAACAATTCCAATAGAGTAAGACTATTTGTGAGATTTGACTACGTTATATGGAAAAAAAGGGAAAAAAGAACCCGTAGAGACTAAACTAAAACTTTCTAAATTGTAAAACCAAATTTAAAACAATGCTCATTTACAAAATTTGTTATTTAATCTTTATTAAAAATGCTTATTTCAAGTTTGATCTTTTTTTTACATTAAATTTGGATCCCCTTAAGTCTCATTATCACCATCATCTGAAAAGTATCTTGTTAATTACTTAATAAATAATAATAATATTAATAATAATAATAACAAAAATTATAAACTAAACTTGTCATACTAAAACTATAAAGAGAATATGAGTGACAATGAAAATTCCAGAGGTATATAAACTAAACTAAAACTATAGAGACTAAAAATGTAATTTGACCTTCAAAATATTCCCTACTATTAATTTTTCACTTTAATTATAGGTATTCCTCCTAGTAGTGGGGTTTAGCTTGAAAGAATCCTAAAAAAAAAAATGAATAATAATAATAATGTATTCTCCCTCTTTTGTATTATTTATGAGAGAAGGGTATCCCAATTCCCACCTTTACCTTTTATAACCAAACAATGCTTTACCATTTTGCAGATCCTAAATCCTCAGCTACCTCAATCTTAGTAGGCAGAATTTGGATGCATTTCACTGCCTTTTTTGGTTTCTTCACTAAAATGGTATGTTATTTTTCAATCTCATGCCTTCAAAAACCATTCCTTCTCAATCAAACAAATACATATTTACAACCCACCACAAATTCAATAAAAACTTAAACTTTACTAATTGAGTCTATTAATTTTACCACGGAATCACACAAAATATCCTTAAGCTTTATCGTTTGTTTCACAAATACTCTTATCATTTCAAAAGTCTCGGTACTACTCTAACCTTTCATAAATATTTTAAACATATTCTATGAACAAACGTCCATTGATATTTTGGACAAAAAATTAATATTGACAGAATATAGAGTGTCGTAGCAATTAAGGTAGAAACTTGTCTAGATTAGAAGTTATCATTTTCAAAATGGGGATTAGGACAAAGTAGGATAGATAATGGAGAAGCAAATTCTCTTGACAATATAAGGAGAAGACTTTTAAGGCAAATTTTAAACATAATTGTCACATCGTTCCAAATTCTTTTGTTCAAAATATTAACGATATTTACTCAAATGGTATTTTTGAAACGTTTATGAAAGGTCTATTGAAACTTTTGAAAGAATAGGAGTATTTTTGAAACAATAGCCTACTTCTTGTTTGAATTTTGAGTTCAATCAAATGAAATTGAAAATTTAATGTTAAAATTAATGAAGTAGGAAAAAGGGAACATATTTTTTGGAAAATACTTGGCTTCTTAAGCGTAAATCTTGTCCTCGCCATCATTCAAAAATTGACAATTCATTAGGGCTACATTAGAAGAGTGGTGACCACGGACCACAATCGGAATCCATGAAGGAAAACAACTATCCCAAAGTACAAAGAAACTATAAAAAAATGGCACACTTGGTCAATAAAACAACTTGACTGTTCAAAGAACTATAAACAATAACAAATTTTAACCCACTAGATATATTTTCCAAAATCACATCTTCAACTTCATTCAACGACGTCAAGGGAGACTCCTCAAGTAATAGAGGAATCTTTGTCAATTATGGTATCCCATTTAGAATTAGAAGGAAAATAATTACTTATAAAGTTGTCGTATTTCCACCATGATAGGCAAAGAAGGATAAGGCAAATTACCCAAAAAGGAACATTTTCATATGAAAGAGGAGTCAAAATCAAATCAAAGAAGAAAATGAAAATATTAAAGACAAGCACAGCTGCGCTTATCAAGTAATGTTGGAGAGGACTAAGGAGGGGTGCGGCATAAGGAAAAAAGAGAGGGGGGTGCCCAAATCAATGCCCTTAAATAATGCAAGCTTGCCTACTTTTAATTTATAATAATAATAATTCACTTTCCAATGAAAATCTCAAAAGACCAACATACTCTCCACACGTCCCATTCTTCAAAAACCCACGAGCACTCGACTCAGCCACTCGTTTTATTAATTTCTTTTTTTAAAATTATTTGTTTTTTGTTTGCTAATACCAATACAGTTAGGATATCAAGGTCCACAGTCCTAAGATTCAAAGGAAAAAAAAAAACTATAGGTTATGTAAATAATTCTAAATAGAAAAAGAAAAAAAGGGGGTTTTTTGTGGAAAATTTAACTGCGGTTAATTTAATAAATTGAGTTATTGGGGTAAATACAGAACAAATAATTGGGACCCATCTGATCGTACCCATGAAATTTCATTTGTAGGTTTGCAGTTGATAGGTCGCAGTTAAGACCTACCAAAGTTATGGGCTTATTTGTGAATTGGGATCCCTCTCTCTATCTCAAATAGAAAATAAAATTTGGACCATATAATTCAAAATCAAATAATAAATTTCAATTTTAATATTCTCTTCTTTTTTTTCACAAAAATGGATGAATTTGAAATCAAATAACAAAAGGAAAAACTTTGTTTTACTATCACAAGAATAGATAAACTTTTAATGAAATAACAAGACTAGGATTGAATAGTAAAAATTAGGATTAAATAATATTTTAGTCTTTTTACTTTCGGTTTTGGTTCATATGTGATACATCTACTTTTGAATTATGTTCATTTTAGTCTCTAATCTCTATGCCTTCGAAATGTTTACTTTAGTCCATGTACTTTAAAACATATATTTTAAAAATACAAGAATTTAAATGAACAAAAGAGTGCAAGTACTAAAATAAACAAAAGTTGAAAGTATAAGAATTAAAATCAGCATTTTAAAAGTACAACGACTAAAATGAATCAAAGTCAAAATTAATTAGTTATTAATACCTTTAAAATCTTTTTTTTTTTTTTGAAGTTTTGTCTTTTAAAGAATTGAATCCTTAAATTCAAATAGAAGGGGTTGAACATTTGATAATCTTTTAAAAATAAAGGAAAACATTAAAATTATAAAGGTTGAAGCTAATGCCACTTAAAAGTGTGGGATAAAATAAAAATAAAAAATAAATTTTGTTAAAACCATTAGTTGAGGGGAAGGAGGTGGGCTACAGGACTTGGGAGATGAGCATATCCATTTTGTCCCTCAAAGAATAAAGGGCAACACAAATTATTTTTAAAAGAAAAAAAAAACTGAGACCTAAAAAGAATGATTCTGCATAGTAAAAAGTTGCAAAAATGCATTATATACAAGGAACCTCATCATTCCAACTTCACTGTTTTGAAAAAATCAATGAAACAAAATAAAAGAAAATCTAGGATTAACATAAATAATAATAATCTTCCCCAGTTCCCCTTCTCTCACTCCCCCTCCCCCCACCCACAAATTTCAATGGAAAGGAAGATTGGAGATTAAAGAAGCAAAAGTCAGTTGCTCGAGGGAGAAAAAAAAAACAAGAATCTAAACAGCACTCTTATCAAAACTGGTTGAATCCTCTTGAATAAATCATTTTCTCAACCCAATACAACTCAAACCTCACCTCTTAAAAGGGTATGAAATTTCCTTTAACCTGAGTCGAATCTTCATCTCACATGTTAATAACTCAGAAAAAAAAAGATATGATAAATGGGAGCTACTTTAGTTAAAGGGGAGGATAAAAGGAAGAAATTGGAAGGGAGTTCATGGGAAATTTGTGGTCCTATGGGCCAAAACTTTAGTTTAGTTTAGGTGATATATTTTTATTGTTGTTGCTGTTGTTGATCACTTTTTGGGGTTTTTATTTTCCTCTTCTCCTGCATTACTGTTTTGAAATGAATTTTTCTGAGAATTTCAGAATATTTTTATGGGTTCTCTTTCCTTCTGCCCATTTAACAATGAAAATGGCATATTACCAATCATCCTTTCCCCCCTATAGGAAACACCCATCATTGCTCCCAACAATCCTTTTCAACCTTAGAAACCTGAGCTTCTAAAAAGATATAGAATTGAGAATTGGGTTTCTAATTCCCATTCCTCGCTTTTAATTTCTCAATGCTTCTCTTCTTCAATTTAAATACCATCCTTCTTAATAACCTTTTCTCTCCCTCTTCTACTTCTACCCCCTCTTCTCTCTCTTCTCTCTCTCTCTCTCTCTCTCTCTCTCTCTCTGCTTTTCCTTTTGGTTCCCACAACACAAAGTCACAATGGATCCCTCCTCCACCAACTCTGTCAATGGATTCTACACCTTTCTGACTCGAGGGATCGATGATCTTGAACGCGTATACCTCTCAAATAATTTCATGTCAATCCAATTCCTTCAAAGGGCTCTTTCACTTCTCCGATCATTTCATTCCCAATTGACCCTCCTTGTCCAGAAGCTCCATTTGCCTGTGGGGGAGAAGTGGCTGGATGAGTACATGGACGAGAGTTCTAAGCTGTGGGAGGCCTGTCATGTCCTAAAATCAGGCATTTCTGGCATCGAGAATTTCTACTCTGCTGGCTTCAATATCACTTCTCCTCTCGATACTCATCGCCATCTCACTCCCCAACTATCTCGCCAGGTCCCATCTCAATCTCAATCCCAATCTGATTTTTTCTCATCTGTTTGTTTGTTTGTTTGTTTGTTTGTTTGGAAGCAAAGCATTGAGTTCAGATTCCGAATTCTTGAAATACAGGTAATTAGGGCAATATCAGGGTGTCGACGGGAAGCGGTGGGTTTGGAGGAGGAGAATCGGGCACTGATGGAAGCAAGAATTCAGCCGCTATCTCTGAGGTTCGATGAGAAAGTATCGATCGAATCAAAGCTGAACGGATTCAATGGATTCAGAGGAGTTCTGTACGCAATGAGAAATGTGAGCTCACTACTCCTAATGATCTTGCTCTACGGACTAGTTTACTGTTGGCCGGAATCGAATTTCGTGAGAGGGGGATATGAAGGGTGTCTGTTTTTTGGGTCGGCTTTTATGATATCGACGGCGAGATTGCAGCAGAGGGTGGCCGGAGAAATCAACCAGATGAACGGGAGGCCTGGGATTTTGCTGTACGAGTTTCGGAGGTCGAAGATGGCGATGGAGGAGTTGAGGGCGGAATTGGAGAGGAGGGCGGGCGGCGCCTCACAGGGACTGCTCGAATGGGAAACAGAGATTGGAATTACAGAAAGGGTTGAGAATTTGAGAGCTTGTTTTGGGGTACTCAGATCTGGAGCTGACAATATTGTTTGCCAACTTGATGATTTCATTGATGAAATCGTTGAAGGCAGGAAGAAGCTTTTGGATTTTTGTAGCCACAGGTAGACAGACAGGGAGATGCAAAAATATTGTAGTTGTTATGGTTCAAAGACCCCTCAAAAAAAAAAATCTTGAAAAAAAAAGAAAAAGAAAAAACAAGTAGAAGAATCAATTGTTGGAGTTGTACCTTTTTAACCCTTCCCTTCTTCTCGTTTCCAGTTTTTCCCTCTAATCCTCTAAAAAAATCTACAGGAAAATAAAGAGACAAGAAAGAAATGAGAAGCCCATAATAAAATAATTGAAGCTAAAAATATATTCTATTAAATCTATTGTAATTTTTTATTGCTGAAATATCTAATCATGAACAGATGAACTGTATAACAATTTTGCTAGAACAGTAAAAGAAACAATATCTTAGATTGTTTATTTCAATTTGAAATTTTTGACTAGCTGACAAGTCAAAAAGATTACAGAATATTGAAAAGAAAGTCAATGAGTTGCTTCATTTCAACATGTAATGTAACACCAAAGTCCAATAGACTGACCCATGAAAATACATCATATGTACACACAAACATATTTGTGCAGAAAAGAAGAAAATGAAAGTTGAGAGAACAAAAGGAATGGAAGAAGCTTCTTTGTAATTTTCAAAGAGAGAGACATGGGTCAATATTCCAATACAAGAGGGGGAGAAAAAATCCAAAAATTTTCGTCTTCTTTTTTAGGTGTTTGGTTTTCTAGCAGAAGTGATGTCCCTCTCTCTCCAGTTCAGTTCAGGGAGAGAGAGAGAGAGGTGTCTTTTGAGACTTTTAGTTGGGATAGTAAATATGACTAATCATTCTAGTGGTGAAAGAATGATGAAAAGTGGGGGCTTAGAAGGCTGTAAAAGGCAGAGTATACAGTGAGATTCCTGGTTTCTTTATATATTTATTTATTTGCTTATTTTTTTCCCCAAAAGCAACATCCTTTTCTTACCCCCAAGCTTTTGTCTGATTCGGTTCTCTATTTGAAAGCAATGGAGTCTGATGATGAAATGTTCCTCCATCACATCCTTCTTCCTGACATGTCCTGACTTTCTCTATCTCTCTCTACCAATTTTGGTTTCTTCTTCTGCTGATGGGTTTTGAGGGGAAGCATATAAATATTAACATAACATAAGAATGGGAAAAAGAAAGCTCTAGATAGCTCACTTTGTAAGTTGCAACTGTATCTCATGCTTTTTGTCTCCTGCAGGAATTTCATGCATAGCCTCTTTTAAAAGGTTCCAAAAAGAGTAAGAAAATTGCAATCGCAACAAATGACAAATTCAGAGGCAAGAAGGAAATAAACTAACCAGGCTTCACTGTATTGTATTGTATTGTAATAGAAGAGGCCAGTAGTTTCAGAGAACAAGTTCTGGCTTGCAAACAGCTCCCCAGTCCTTAAAGCAAAGCACACTTTGCTTTTCAATAATCATTAGAAATAATGATTTTCTTTCACTTCCCCAAGAACAAAAAAAGAAGAGAAAGATATTCCTCCTCAGACATTAATAATTAAGAATTTTAGTGTCGGTTTTCAGAGCATGTAACCCCAGATGAGACATCCCTATGCTTATAAACATGACTCGTTTGGAAACACTTGATCTTTTCCACTGTAACTTCATAATTACGAGACATATAAGCTGTAAAGAAGATACAGACCAGCAGAATGTATTATAATAGGCCACTGAAATATATTTTCTTTTCTTTGGGGAATAAATTAATCGGGTTCCTTCCATGAAAATCAAAAAGCCATTCTGGAAATGACTTTGTTCTGTGTTTAATTTACAGGACACAACTGAAAAATATAAAAACAGAGAATTTCGAGAACAAACAAGTGAAAAACCCGGGTGATTGTCTTGTTACCATGTTGAGCCAAGCAGTTGTGCATCTGGATCTCCAGAATATTGGACGTAAAATCCTCGAACAACCAACCGGAAACCGGAAAAAATGTCGCCCACACGATTCTTTGACTATGTAACTGTTCCTTCAGTAAGCATACTCAGCCGCAACTTTATACCGCAGCAATACCATGGGTTTCGCTAAGCTGTATCCTACCAAATCTTCAAGTTGCTTCAGAATCAGCAAGTTGTTTGTGATGCCAGTAAATTTCATTTAAACCACTTCTATGTCACAGGAATACCTGTCTAAAAACAAATGAGTCGGATATCATTAAAAAAAAAAACTATAATAGACTAATAAATCAATATTAATTACTACCAATAAATGACAAATCATAATTGACTTTAAGAATAACATTACCCTTGACTAAAACTTTCTTTCAGTATAGAGTCATGAACAAGGTTGATTTACAGGCTTTGGGAGATGGGTCAATTAGAAACACCAAGAATATTCTACTCCTCCCGTTATTACTGCATAGTGTAAAGGGTTTTGTATTTTCTGTTACTCTGTCATTATTTAAACAAAAACAACTTACCCTTAGTTGATTAGGAAGCTAACTCCGATTGTCTCTGCATAATCAGTCTATTTAAAGACTTGTACAGAATGCTTGTAAATGTGAGTTGATCCAATACAGTAATTTTTTCCAATCTCCCTCTGTTGTTACATAGCACAGTATAGAAACCAATATGTATTGTATTCAGTCCATACACAGAAACACTACACAACCTTATAATATCTTTATCATGATTAAAAATTTCCAAAAGTAATATAATTCCTTCACTACACATCTTATCAAAACAATTAATTGCTTTACCGCAATTTAATCACCCAAAAAGCCACAAATGTTACCCCAGGTGATGACAACGTAGAGGAGCAATAGTAAGAATATGATGGCTTTGATCATGCTGCCTGATTAGGATGCATCTACATGAGTAAGCATAAGCATATCCATATGCATGTTTTTAACTTACTCTTTCTGCAAAAATTACGTTTATATCTACATACAATACAATACAGGTCTGATGCAAGGGAAATAGAGAAACCAAACATTTTAATTGATCTTTTAAATTCTTAAGGTTTTTAACAAATAAAAATTATGAGAGTTTATATTCTATTAAGATGGAGATTCATATGGAAATTTTGGGTCAAAATCAAACTACTATTTTAGTCCCTAAACTATTGTTATTGTTCAATTTTAGTCCCTAACTTTTACAAATACTTTAATCTTTAAGCTTTTACATTGGTTTCATAATTGCCCTTCTAGTTCATGACGGAAATAATATGGTGTTATCCTAGAATGCTTATACCACAATACATTTAGTGGGGGAAAAGGACCCATGTATCATCCTCATAACCTAAAATATGTCTTTTAAATCACTCATGATATGACATTAAAATTTTGAGGAAAAAATGCCTGTTTTAGGCAACTAGAGAAAATGTTGCAACAAAATTTAATAAAGATCTCGATCCATGATCTTGTTAAAATTTAATTTAGATTAGGGCTCTTTCTTTAGACTGTTATTTAATTTTTAAATCATAATTATAATTATCGTCTAGTTCTTATTTCATCTTTAATACTTTGGTTCTTTCATTTTGATCTCTATACTTCAACAATCATGTCATCGTGGTTCCCAATTATTTATCCAGTTAGGTAGTAAGAAATGTAAGATCACAGACATCCAGAACAAAGGATAAAGGATCAATTAATCATAGTTTCCAGCAAAATACTTCATACGATCTCGACCTAAAATTTGAAGTTCTCTCCTAAAATGTACTAGGATCAACTCGCACCGTTAAACGCAGAATGTGACGTTAATGCCTACCTTTCCTCTCATTTGCCATTTCCCAGCAAATTTTTCTATCCTTCTGCTCATCAAATTGCAGTCAAACAGTAGATTCACAGTTCTAAAATTAAGACTATTCGGTACTTCAAGAATCCATTGAATACTACCGGAAATCTACAGCCCATAGTCCCCCAGCTTCCCCCTCCCCGCGACAAAAGAACGACATAACCATTAGTTAAACTTGCAGAAGCAGCATGGAGATGGAAATTACCGCGAATTTGAAAATAATAGAAGGATTCTTGGCACAGTTTGGAGGAGAGGCTTCCAGTTCCATGGGAGCACGAGCATAAAAAACACCGGCGAAATAGGAGAACGCAAACTGAATAGGGCGAATAGGAACGCAGCGTTTCGAAATCTGGAAACTGGGAAGCCTGTTTGAACCTCGAAGCTGGGCTTGGGCTCAATATTACACCAGAAAACTCAAGCCCAATCTTTTGAGCCCACGAAAAAACCGGTCGAGCCCATATAGGAAGTTATGAAGGCCCAATATCAAAACTTTAGAAGCACAAGCCCACTTTCTTGAGCCCACGAAAAAAACTGATAGAGCAAGAGCCCCCGACGAGAATTGATTGTTCTGGAGTGGAGCTCTTCCAATGGAGTCGTCGTCTTCGTCATTCTCTTCTTTCGAGAACTCTGTTTCTCGGTGGGATTTTCTTAGTTTGGTCATTTTACGCCCGATCCTGGCAGTTGTTTTCACGTTCTCCTTGATTTCTCTTGGTAATTTATTCTCCTTTCTCGTGATTATTTTGGATAATTCCTGTATTTCCGATGTCTATTTCTGCTTAGGTTTTGAAATCTAAGATTCAATTTCTATTTCTGTCATATCGATTCAATCCTGAAATTGCACTCTTAATTGGTGTCGTGGAGTAGGTTGGTTTTTGGCGTGGAAGCTCGTTCTTGTTCACGTTCCTCTGGTGCAAGAATTTTTTGGTTTGCGTAAGAAGCCCGTCAGGCCGAAGCCTCCGACGCGCCGACTATCGAAGTTTTATAATAGCCGGAATTCTCAAACTTCAGCTTCTGGGTGGTGAGTTCTTTTTGTTATTGTTATTTTATACCTGCAATTTGTTAGCTAAAGTCATCTATAACTGGAAGCTAAGGCTTAACAGTTTAACGAGAATTGACAAATATAGAAACATAAGTATCGGATTCGTCTGTTTCGGCTGTACCCACATCTTGTTATTATACTTTTCTCCCATGTGAAATCTCATATCTGAAACTTGTTCACCTCGTCATTTAATAACATAGAAGGAAAAGTTAACGCCGCTGATGAAGAGTTTCAATCTTAGTTTCTTACGGCTGCTGGAAGAGTCTTCTTTCTCATATTTATCAACTTGAGGTGATATATGTTATATACATGTCTGTGAATCATGCTGCATGCAATCCGGAGTAAAAGGATACATCATACATCATGACAAAGATCATCATCATCTTCGAAAATTATAGACCTTCATCCTTTTAGTTTTTCTTGCTTGTCCATGTGTATGCGAATTCAAGTGTATTGTTCTTGGGTTTTCAATGTGCCATGAGTTTTGGTTTTATCAAGGAATATTTAGCTATCCAGAATCAGCTTTAATATTTGCTTGCGAGAAAAAATGGTTACCATTAGATTTTCTGTGATATTACCTCAGCAACTTCATTTTCAACAGAGAGACATTTTTGAACTCATTCTTCCGTAATCCACCTTACAACCAATCTCAATCTTGACTTGAATGAAACATCTTCCTCCAACATGCCCCATCTTGTAATCCTCCTCTACTCATCTCTCTCTCTCAAACATCTCTCTAATCTTACAAAAAACTTTCTGCACA